TCATTCTCCGTTTCTTTTTCATTAACATGAACATGTAGATAAAAAAGTTAATTAAAAGCAGATACAAAACCATTGGTTGGCAAGATGTATTTTTTTATGAAACAACTGAGTGAAACAACTGAATTTGAGCCTAAATGTCCGAAAAAAAAGAGAAACTTGCTTTCTAATCCAAACACACGCCCATCTAGTCGAAATCCCTTCTATTCAACCTTCTGCTGTACATTATACGCAGATTATCTCATTTACTATCAACCATTATGGCTATTTCACTACATGATTAACACCTCTTCTACACTGAGGATCCCGCATGAAAATGGAACAGAAACCTTTCCAAGGGAAGGAGGTCAAGATCGTATAATTTGCCCAGCGTGATGGTTGACCCCGACAGCATATGTGAGAATTTTACCATGAAACTTGTACTGGCAGAGCATTCACGAGGTTATTGTACATGTACGGGAAGGCAATGCGATATTCTGTTCGAATAGGTGCTCTGATTATCACTTTGTTGATGTCGTTGAACTCATTCCAGTCTTCGTCGCTTAAATTAACGGATTGAATGAGCATTTCTGAAGATGAGTGGCACGAATAAACACAAACGTACAGATTGATATCCTTTATGAGAGGTTCAAATTTGGGTCCACCGGGAATTGCCACGTTGAGTGCTTTCGCAGTGAAAAATGACTTCAAGTCAAACAAATAGTAATAGTTGTCGTCAGTTAGATCAGTTAGAAGTTGATTTGCGAGACGATATAGTGTGGCCATTATGGGAATACTGAAGGCCCATCGTCTGTATGTGGGACCATTAACAAACCTGAAAAGCATGAAATTTCAGCTGACTCTTGAGAATTCGGCTTCGAAGTATGTAGCACCTCCACCTCCAGGAATCGGAGCGATGCACAACGCAACACGATTGACTCACCGTGTAGTGGCTAGGGGTTTGTGATCATAAAACCATTCAGCAACAGTTTGATCTTCTTCCGGATCTAACTCCATCTGGATAGGCTCTAGAGGCTCCACATCAAGGATGTTGTCTGCATAATCGAGTGGCGGCTCTTCGTCATCAAATGGAGGAAACCGCATACGCTGAACAGCAAGTTGGGATTGAAAGCAGAGTCGCTTACATCTAACTCAAATTTTATATGTATCGGAATGCACTGTCAGCTGGACGAAGCTATCAAAGGTGACCGTTATGGGCTCTAATCAGTGCAGCTTCATTATGTCTTAAGAATCAAGACCAAACCTTCAGGATAATTCATCTGAAAGTTCCTCAATTAAGAAATGAAAATAGTGACACCCTTCCCCAAAAGACTATATGCGATTCCTCGCTGTGTAGTTCACCCCATCGCTTTACCTCATCACAAGACAGTGTAGCATTAGGCGTTGCATTCTCCAGTCATGAGAAATGCACAGAATTACTCGCGCCCGCAAAATTCCAAGCTCGAATAGCGAACTAGTTATCCGATTCACGTCCTTTCAAACCTCATATTCAATTCTTGCGATTAAGGCTATGGCACCACATTGTAAATATAGATTTCTATCAATATTCAATTCTTGCGATTAAGGCTATGGCACCACATTGTAAATATAGATTTCTATCAATTTCCAATCACAACGACTGTGTTAACCTTGAAATGGCGACGGTCTCGCTTTTCTCGTCTCATCATGATCCACATGGTTCCCCATTGCGCCAAGTAGACAGGCTCTATGACACGAGGGGTCTCATTGACGAACGAGATCGCTCCAGTGATATGATACAGCACCTAACAAATTTTCCTTGAAGAATGAATATGCTTACAAAGAACTAAGTGAAGAAATCGACAAGGTAACCAGTAAAAAAAAACAAACCTTGACATCTCTTATCTGCTCCCATGGCATGGGCATATTTTCTAAGAGCTTGAGAACGGCATGAGGCATATACTTCAAAGCTCCAAGATAGACTCTTTTATCATGTCGGAATTTACGGGATGTCATATCGCCATGGTCACGAATTATCTTCCGCACATGTTCTGAAGCAAGACTTTAACTCTTGAAATAACGAACAGCTTGAGAAACAAAACAATGTGAACGAAAACCATAATTCGAATCGATTAGAACCTGGGGGCATCTCTTCCTTTTGCGTATCTACTACACCGAATTTCCTTTTCTCCGCATAGCGCTTTGATTGCAGTTAGATTCAATTACCTTTTCTTCTAGAAGTTGCGTTGCAGTTGGTGGAGGAGGAGGTAGCTGAAAGTGGAGATGGAATATAAGCCACGTAGGAACAACATGAAGGAAACATACCTCTCCCGTGTCCATCGGCTCTACTGCTCCGTTACCAAATAGAGGTTCCATACCCTCCATAACTCTGAAAACCAATATTTTTCTCTCATCTAACTATATTCACAACTGTCGAATTCCATCCAAATCGTAAATGGATGAAAACTGCAAATAAAAAACTGGAAACTGTGTGTTTGTTTCATATGGTCCTACGGTTACCAATCATTACCCCTTCAAGAATTATTTACAATCTGCGATCTTAGCGAAACGTGGGATTCGTAGCAAGAAAGATATACGAAACGAACAAAAGAATTCGGCAGGTCAGCTATCTATCGCATCAAACTCCTCTTTTGTATGGAACGCGGAGATTGCTTGGAAAGGTATCTGTGACTTTTTCCCACACTTGAAGGCGTGGCCGCGGCCGCACCTTTAGATGTGAGGAGTCTAGGAGCCTTAGAAAGTGCGAAAAGCGCCACTATAAAGCTGGCGCATGAAGTACGTGAGAGGTACCTCTCTTGATACACCTCTAAAATAAGTTAAAACAAGCATGCTGTCGTTGGATTGGAGAGACACCCCTGGAGCTGCAGGCCGTTTGCGAATCCGCGATTCGCTAACGATTCCACGGATTCACAGCAATTTGAGATGCATGTGTGATGTGGCAGTTCGGACGATGCACCAGCCAATGTAGTCTGTGATTTGCTGGCGCATCGCTCGTAGGCCTCGGATTGCTAGCGAAACACCCCAAACCACTCAAATCGTAGCGAAACACCCCAAACTCCTCAGATCGTTAGCGAAACACCCAATTACTAATGAATCCCGGGATTCTCAAAGTCTGAAGCTTTTCAAACGCGACTTTTTAGAGCGTACAGTTCTAACGGCAGGACTACTGAAGCAAAAAAGCCAATGAATGGATTTTTAGCAAAGCCATTCCCCCCCCCTCCCATTCCGAACGAGGTCGCATCCAGGGGGTGAACATGTCACCCTGCACAAGGATAGCGAACGGCTCCTGCGCTCCCCCACTAAAGTAAGGACGGGGGACAGGATTTCGCAGAGGAGCGCGCTGCTGCAACCTCGCAAAGTATAAGAGTCGGTACTTCCGTCAAAATTTTTACAGATCCCTCGTAGCCATAATATTGCGATTCTTACGTGGAAGCGCACCCGCGGTTCTTCCAGAAGGAGAGGAAAGGGGGAGGTGAAGTGAAACCTCCAAACATAAACAACTTCCTTGAAATTAATAGCTTTCAAAATTTTAGATAGATTTAGAATCTACAGGATTTCAACTTCAAAAACCCTCGGAAAATTTTTCTCAACTTTTGCAAGTCCTCCCGTTATGAAATGGAAAATAGAAATTTCGGCACGATGCAACCCAATGCACACACCTTTCCTTCGAAGTCATCGTATAACTTCGTATAATGTATGCTATACGAAGTTTGATAAGTAGTTAATTCAGACCAAACTATTTTCTTCCGTGCGGTTTACTACAAAGTGTCAAATTCATTTTTTTAGGAATTCGACCGAAACTTTTTTTTCGTGGGCGGGGGCCAAAAAGTGCGAATGTTTGAAATTAGGCTGATCATAGCACCTTTATTCTCGTTTCTGTTACAACTTTTTGAAATGGCAAGAAAGTACTAGATTTGATCTCTATCGCGTGTCAATGTGCGCATTGAAACAACAATACAATGCATGTCCATCATCCATTGGACATCGCGGTCTAATATTCGTTGTCCACACAACTACAACTCTCTAACCAGCGGAAAAACTTCAAAAAAAAGCAACTAAAACTCGCTGCGGTGCAACCACTTCGCTCCAAAGGCGCAGCTCGCACGCATACAAAGCAGGCTCGACGCAGTTTGAATGCCTCATAGAGTACGCCTAGTGGGTGTACAGCCCAGTAAACTAAATCCTATTCAAGATATTTCCGATTCGGCATTTGTTTTTTATGCGGTTCTTATTCTAGGGAAATTACAAGGGAGTCTCTTCAGGAAGTGAAGTGTTTTTCGAAATGGTTTCAGCATGTTGTAGGGGCTCATGCGAGGAACACAGAACCATGATCCATTTTTCCTGAACGCCCAGGAATGTCAAAACAGTGGTGAAGAAATGGTCCAGAGTTCGATCCCCGGTGATGACTAATTTTTGCAATATAGTTTGGCGCCCCCAGATTGCCGCCAAATGGCGCCATCGTCGAGAATATGTGTCCCAACATAAATTGCAACAATTTGTCATCATGGAGGATCGGATTTTGAGGCATCTCTTCTGCGCTGTTTTGACATTCCTGGGGCTGTTTAGGAAAATTGGACCACGTTCCTCGCATAAGCCTCTACAAAAATCAAAAAAATATCTAGAAAAAACGCTTCATGTCCTGAGAGACCCCCCCCTTGTTAGATCAAGTACTAGGTTTTGATGAGACAGCAGATGGTAATTTCGTAATAACTTTTTTGGAACCGTAATCTCTTGACAATTCCTGTATGGATCAAAAAACTTCTATAAATTAGCACTGGCCGGTGGGAGTGATCATTTTGTACTCCTACTGACTAGTATAGGGCGCCATTCGTTGCGGGACCCACTGCCTTAACCCGCGGGGATCCCAGCGATCGCGGTTGAATTCGAACATTCCAGCTTCTCACGCATGTCAAGTGACTGCCCTCACCCCCCACCCCCCTAGACTGGCGACACTGCCCCTGGCTCACGGATTCCCCGCTCCACATTGAAGGGTTCACTGTAGCAGGAGGCAGTGGGACCCGTAACGAATGGCGTCCTTTACTAGTCAGTAGGAGTACAAAACGATGCGTCCCCGGCCGCGTGTCACTCTGCGCCGGACATTTTTGCACTAATTTCGGGAGCTCCTGCAATTGGTGCAAAATCGCTCCAATCGCAAAGTCTGACTTCGGCCATCACTAAAAGAAGAACGAAACTAGAGAATAAAGGGCAACGCGCATAACTATTTGTGCACTACTTGAATTTTCTTCCATGGTCTTGCCACGAATGGCGGATAGTACAGACGGTTACAGAAGGGAGCCTGCGTGGGTCCAAATCCCAAGGAAGAAGGTGAGGATGGACTAAGCCCTTCTAGGGGAAAGGAGTTCCCCAGGTGCGGCGACTACAGCACTGCAAATGTTTGAATGTGTAAGATCACAATGGCCACGAGCTGCTGATAAGGCGAGAGAATGCAGAGGAGAACATCGAACTGAGGCGGCCTAAGGACCCGAGTTCAAGAAGTCCGTCGACCCGCATAGAGCAAAATCAAAACTTTCACGCAGTTCTAAGGGAGCATCAGAGGATCTTTGAATGGCCAATCCGTACATTTCGATGAGACAATTTCAGAAACCGATGGAACGTTACCCAAGGACCTTCCTGAGCACCCCCCAAATTCCGCCTGACAATACATTCGATAAGAAAAGGTTGTGAATTGCGAATAGATCTCGAAGTAAACAATCAAAAAACGTAGACATCATACAAACGCACGCACGCAAAGCCAAAATGCGCAGCGACGGCACGGCACCTCAAAATTTTTCGAAAGATTTGGCGCCGAGTGCGGTCGAGCGCGATGCCGTTCCGCGCTGCGTGCAATCACGGTGCGTCGAGCGAGCAGTCCATGCTGCGCCCAACACTCCCATTTGTGACTGTTATCAAGCATTAATGAGATTGCTTTGTAGTCATCTTTTATGGATTATTATGGGTAATCCAAGTATAAGCTATCGCAAAGTCCACTGCAGCCCACGCAAAAGCTGAAAAAAACCAAGTGGCGAATGTTCATTTGATTTGTCGGATGCCAAGATCGATAATCATCTCTAATCATGTGGTAAGGCTCTTAGAACGGAGATATCTTTGGTAAGCTTAGGTGATCGCCGCTCTGACAACTCTCACACCTGTGGGTGTTGAAAGTTTCAAAGGTTAGACCGCTTGATGTTCGCAATATATTTGGCTGTTAGCTTACCAGATACGAAGCTATACGATTTTTCCTGTTCTGCTTTCCTCCGCACATTCCTCTAGCATATCAGAGAAATGGCATTGATCGCGTTTTGAGCCATGAGCTTTTGAGCTATCTCGTTTAGGAGTTACTCATTTTTCAGTCATTCCAAGGCAAGGTGGGGGCTTTCAGGTGCATCCAATGAGTTCGATTGAGTTTTTCTTCAAATGTTATTATACATATGAGAATTATATGGCTAGGATTCTTCAGTTCAGCAAAGCAAAGTTAAGTTAGTAATACGGGATGTGATTCACTAGAACAGGAGCTGCTTTTCGTAGCGTTTCGAAGTTTTTGGGCGTAGCGAAGTAACTTCGGGTCCTTTAATGATAGCGTGGACCTGACATTCCAAGGAGCGGGGAAATGTTTCGCGGTGCGAAACACGAAAAAGTCGCTTTCTGTTTAGCGAACTGCAGCAGTAAGACAGGTGTTAGAGTCTGTGGTTGGCAAATTCGCGCGATTCACGCGACGGGTCACAGAAATCACAAGTGCCCGATCAATACTGCAAGGTGTGTTCTCCAATCCCGCCGCCACTTCTGCTTGATAGTGATGGCTGAATGACGACTGCTCATGATTCCACTTGTTTCATATTCAGTGTTTCAAATGTTCAAATGGGGCACTTGCAATTTTTGCGATCCGCGCAAATCGCGCGAAACCTGCGAAACCTGCGACGGATCGCGGACTCTGACACCACTCTACCAATGAGCTAGATACAGCACAATAGGCTCCAATACTGACCGTAGTCGCGCTGCCCACCATTGTGTTGCTCGTAAGTAAGGCTGCGGTCATAGTTCGCGACTCCGGAGGTAAGGACAGTACGCGACAATGAAAAGATATGTATTAACGGGGAGAGGATAGTAGGAGAGTGGGATAGTTCGCTGACCAGATCAAATACCTATGGATTGGAATAGCCAGATAGAAGTTTACGATACTAGGATAGTAGAGATAATAGTAGAGTAGGAGTTTAGGGTGGAGTATCCCTACTATATATAAGCGGCTAGCGTGTGTCTGTTGGTGTGTGTGTGTGTGTGTATGTTTGACCGGAAATTCATAGCTCGAGTCACAGTAACGATAGCGCAGTGGTTCTTACATATGTTATAGGGGGTGGGATGGGGACACA